ATGCACAGAACAGCACTTGTGTTTGTCTACCACAGGTATGTGGTAAGAGATCCAAAGAATGACACTCACGGAAGGCAGTAGCAGCTTTGAGACATGCATTATAGGGTGCAGTTGATGGAGATTTGTGGCATGCACATCCAGGGCACGAAGCTCCCGTTCCACCACATCCCAAAGATGCTCTATTGGGTTGAAATCTGGTGACTGTGGGGGCCATTTTGGTACAGTCAACTCATTGTCATGTTCAAGAAACCAATTTGAAATGATTCAAGCGTGTTTGTGACATGGTGCGTTATCCTGCTGGAAGTAGCCATCAGAGGATGGGGACATGGTTAGGGTTGGGTATCGTTTGAATTTGAACGATTCTGATTCCGATTCCGATTCCTTGTTTCGATTCCGGTTCCTAACGATTCTCGATTCTGATTCTTTTAAGAGGCAGGGTCAAAAAAGTTTAGCTAACCATGTTAACCAACGGTCTTTCTGAAGGAAATAATCCTTTCTGAAGGAAATACTCCTTCTGTCACAAATATTCCTTTTGTCACAAATTTTGCATTTTGCCGAGATTTCGTTATTTTTAGAAAAGTGAAGCCACACTTTGGATCGCCGACGTAAGGTACTCATGTTCGACTCGCGCGGTTATGCCAACACTTCCGGTAGACGCTTCTTCGTTGGTGTTGTTCAGCGGTTTCTTCTTCCGCTCGGCGGACTGTGAATATCGAAACTAGGAATCGAAATTTGAACTTTTGAACGATTCCGGGGAAAACGAAAAGTTAGTCTCGGTTCCAATCGATACTCGATTCTCGATACCCAACCCTAGACATGGTGGCCATAAAGGCATGGACATGGTCAGAAACAATGCTCAGGCATTTAAACGATGTCCATTTGGCACTAAGGGGCCTAAAGTGTGCCAAGAAAACATCCCCCACACCATTACACCACCACCACCAGCCTGCACAGTGGTAACAAGGCATGATGGATCCATGTTCTCATTCTGTTTACGCCAAATTCTGACTCTACCATCTGAATGTCTCAACAGAAATCGAGACTCATCAGACCAGGCAACATTTTTCCAGTCTTCAACTGTCCAATTTTGGTGAGCTCTTGCAAATTGTAGCCTCTTTTTCCTATTTGTAGAGGAGATGAGTGGTACCCGGTGGGGTCTTCTGCTGTTGTAGCCCATCCGCCTCAAGGTTGTGTGTGTTGTGGCTTCACAAATGCTTTGCTGAATACCTCGGTTGTAACGAGTGGTTATTTCAGTCAAAGTTGCTCTTCTATCAGCTTGAATCAGTCGGCCCATTCTCCTCTGACCTCGAGCATCAACAAGGCATTTCCGCCCACAGGACTGCCGCATACTGGATGTTTTTCCCTTTTCACACCATTCTTTGTAAACCCTAGAAATGGTTGTGTGTGTAACTGAGCAGATTGTGAAATACTCAGACACCACCAATCGTGCCACGCTCAAAATTGCTTAAATCGCCTTTCTTTCCCATTCTGACATTCAGTTTGGAGTTCAGGAGATTGTCTTGACCAGGACCACACCCCTAAATGCATTGAAGCAACTGCCATGTGATTGGTTGATTAGATAATTGCATTAATGAGAAATTGAACAGGTGTTCCTAAAGTAAAATATTTCTATAATATGTCAAATAATATATGAACTAAAAAGGATTATAGTTTGAAATATTAAGAACAATAGATAAATATTTTAGGACCTTTAAGTTGTTTTTATTTTTCAAAGTTTTCTTTTTGACAATTAAACACTTTCCCCACAAATTGTCATTATTGTAATGTTTTTTTTTATTATTATTTATTTTAATTCTTAGGTGATTTTTAATATTAGATTTATAGTATTGTATTTTTAGTATTGAAAAAAAAGTACTTATGATAGTGTTTTTATTAAATAAGCATAAAGGCAGTACAACAAAAAACATCATGTATAATTTATTTACACATTATTACGATAATAAGAAGAACTGATGGCACATGTGCTTAATGCCAATACAAATAATGCAAATGCAATGGTCATAAAAATATTTTTGTGTTTGTTGTTGAAATTTGACCCAGACGTGTTCTTGACTGGCTTCGTTTCAAGTGGACTCGAGTGGTTCAGAAAACAGCTGTCACGCCAACCAACAAACCATTACTGTGAAAGTGTCTTTTCGTGTCCGTGTTTATTTCTAACATCTACAGGCACTTGCAAACTCAGGAATACAGAGAAAATATGTAGGAGAGTGTGTTAGTCTTGTGTGCGGGGTTGGCTTTATGTGCAAGTGGTTTGTGTGTGTGTTTTCTTATGTTTTATTAGCGTGTGCATGTGGGTGTATGTGTGAGTCGAGAGAGATTCTGTGTGTGTGGGAGGAGAAGGGATACAGGCTGCCTCCGTGATTGTGTGTATTTGTGTGTTGGTGTGTGTGTGTGTGACTCACGTCTGGCATGCTCACTGCTCTGTGGCAGAAACGCTTCCAACTTAAGACATTCGGGTTAAGAGTGAATTCCTGACTCCCCCTGGTGGTTCACCGTGTTACTGCTATAGAGTTCATCGTTTCGCGTGACCCCATAAACCAAATAACCCTGAAAGTGTTTGGAGAAGTCCTGCAAGCCGAACATTGGTAAAAAAATATATGTAAAATCCAAATGATAACAAGATATAGCTCATCATAAAGGAGGCACTCATAAATAAGTCATTTTTCCATATTCCAATTAAGCAAAAGGTTGAACAACGGCTGAAATAACGATCTTTTTTGATTGACATCACAAATCCCTTTATTTCTCAACTATTTTCATGATTCAAACCATTCTTGAAGGATATAATCAAGACCCTTTGCGACTTATTTTTTGTCATTAGCTCTTAAAAATAGAGGTTTTTTTTGCAGTTTTTTTTTTTCCAAAGAATCTTTCAGTGAACACTGCTTAAATTTAACCATTTTATTATTAGAAAAAAAAATAATATTAATAATAAAAACGTTTGTGCAATGGAAAGGTTCCATAATTGTTAAAGGTTCTTCATTCAACCATTGATGCCAATAAAGAAGCTGTATTTATAAGAGTTTTATGCAAATAAATGAGATTACACAATTTCGATACTGCCTAAAAGTGGAAGATCTCTTCTTTCAATTATTGTTTCATTATGCCTTATTGTGTCTTTATATCCAGTTAGCCTAATGTTATGGACTTTTGTGGTAAACTAATGGGGTACTAATAGTTTTGCTCATTGATTTTAAACTCTCAGCAAATTACATTGTTTCATGGTGGTCAGTTTTAATGAACCCCTAAGGGAAACACAGCCTGGAAAGAGAAGAGAATAAAGGAATTATTATCACTAATAGAGAGTTTTGGAATGATACTCAAACAGTTGGTTTACATTTATGATTTGCACTCACAGGTGAAGTAGATTTACCGGTTTATAAGCAACAAAGATGGATTATGTCAGTAGAAATGACCTAAAGAGCAGTATTTTCATACTCAAGTCATTACAGACCATCTTAATTATCATAACTTAATGGTTGCAGACAAAATGATATTAGATAAAGTTGTTGGCTGGAGTTTGAATCAGAATTGTATGCATACATTCACACATTTCCATAAAAACACATTAGTTTGTACATATTATCCATTGTTGCAGCTCCTCTCTTCCCAGTCTGTCAGTAATGGCGATTTTCCAGTACACAGTACCGGCTCGACTCACCTTTGTTTGGTTTTCCACTGTGTAAAAGTTGTACCTGGACCTGCTTTCGGAGGGTATCACCTCCGGCGAGGTTCTGAGCGAGCTAAGGCCGTGCGTCCACCAAAACATTTTTCCACACGCCTGCGTATGTTTTCAATTGTTTTCAATTGGAGCGCCGCGTTTTAAACGGCATGAGCGTAACAAGGCGCTAAGCGTTTTTTTTTTTTTTTTTTACGCTGAAGCACCGAGCGCCCAGCGTTTTCTACTGGTCGCCGAGAGTTGAAAAATATTCAAATTTGGATAAACGCAGCGCTCATCACTGGCACTTTTTACCCAGCCGTCCAATCACAGAGGAGGAGGGGCGGGACTAAACCACACCGACCAACTGTCACAACATTCTTTCTGTACAACGACATCAACCAACAGAGCTAACCGAACAACATGGATGAAAAATAAATTTTTAGTATGAAACAAATTATCTGCGAAATCAGTTTCAAGTAAACTGTGCTGTGGATATTCTGTATCATAGCAACGTTGCGTAAACAGAAAAAACGTGCTGAAAAAACGCTCTCAAGCGCCCAAAGCAAGCACGGCGTCTTCAGCAGAGCATCTGGTGTTTTCAGCTGGATAAAAACAGGTTAGCTCGCCTAAGGCGAGCTGAGCCGATACTAAAATATGACGTGAAAACAATGCCGAGTGCTGATTGGTCAGAGAGAATCGTCACCATTCACTGCGTCATCATTACACACGCCAGATGGAGTATCCAGAATACCCTCGCCATTTTTAAATAGTTTTGCCAGAGATAGTTACTAAACTTACTACTATTATTATTGCTACTTGGAAGAATACGCCATGGTCAAACGAGGAGGTGCAAACTTTCCTTTGTTTGGTGGCCGAAGAGAGGATCCAGCGAGAGCTTGATGGGGCTACGAGGAACGAAAGGCGTCGCTATGACGGCTGGGTACTATTTGTGGTGGTACTGTCTGCAATGGAAAATGGATCGTAAGGCGAGTCGAGCTGGTACTGGTAATAGAAAGCGCCATAACACTGTTTAGTTACGGTGTCTATGAAGCCCCTCCTTCCGAAAAGTGTAATCTGCTCTGATTGGTCGGCTGGACCAGTTTGTTCTGATTGGTCAATTGCTTCCAGCGTGTCTCCTTACCATAACTGTAGTTTCATCACACTACTAACTAACTCAATCAGGCCCCGCCCCTTTATTTTGCGTATGCCTTGGGCGGGAATTATTTAGATGATGATTATTGTGACCTTTTCATGCTCAAACAGCAACATTACACACTAAAGAAAGCTGAAAATGAATTTGAATGTACTCTTCTCACAGGAATCACCACCGTGCTCACGATGACGACCCTCAGCATCAGCGCGCGTCACTCCCTGCCCAAGGTCTCGTACGCCACGGCCATGGATTGGTTCATCGCGGTGTGTTTCGCCTTCGTCTTCTCTGCTCTCATCGAGTTCGCCGCCGTGAACTACTTCACCAACGCGCAGGCTGAGAGAGCCAAGAGAAAACAGGCCGCCGCTGCCGCCAGTGCCAAGAGCTCCACAGCGTCAGGCAAAGCCAAAGACACAGAGGAGGTCCTACAGGTCAGATGCTGTTACACACATTACAAACACTACACCTACTAAACTATAAAACACTTTAACATTGGATGGGATGAGCCATGTCTGAAACTGTGTATAATTGCTGTTACGCTGTACATCAGTTCATTTATTAATGCTGCCTTCAACTCCTCCTGAGAGGTTCCCATTACAAGCTCCAAAGACATAATTATGATGTTATGTGCGTTCAAGCGATTTTCAATGAGGATAAAGTGGACGCACTGGCAAAGTTTTACTTACCAAGTTGGTTGGTGCAACCTGTATTTTATCATTCGGCTGCTGCCAAAAACAGTGATGGGAAGAGTATTTTGGTCATTAATCTTATTACAGTCTCAACCAGTAGTATTTTATAGCAAGTTTAATAGCTATTTTTTTCAGCAGCACACAAAATGCATGGAAACGAAATTGTATATGTAAAATAATATATTGTTTCGTGTGGCATAAAGAAAATAAAAGCTATTTTAAGAACCATTTAGGTTTTTGGCATGTGCATTAGCCTATCTTTATGGGAATTAAGAATATTTTTTATTCAAAAATATCATAATCCTAATGTAATGCGTCCTTTTGAGTTTGTGTTTTGGTAATTCTCATTCTCTGTGATTGTCATTAGATTTTCGAAACTCAATTGCAGTAAAAAGGACACATAATTGTAATTTGTTATTTTAATAAAATGTATTTTATTTAAATGTATTTTAACCCTAAATTCGAGGCAGTATAACATGTATATACTGTATATTACCACCAGTGTTGGGTGTAACTAATTACTAAGTAATTAGTTACTGCACTCTAAAAAAATGCTGGGTTGTTTTAACCCAATTTTGGGTAAAATATGGACAAACCCAGCCATTGGGTAAAAAATGTCATTTAAAAATGTAACCCAATGGCTGGGTTTGTCCATATTTTACCCAAAATTGGGTTAAAATAACCCAGAATTTTTTAGAGTGTGTAATTGAATTACTTTTCCCTTGAAAATGTAAAGTAAGGAATTACTCTTAATTTATCTGTAATTTAATTACAGTTACTTCTGATGTAATTGAGGTAAATCAATCCGATCTCACAGCGATTCGTGTGCATTTTATGAGGTGTCTAAATCGTATGACCGCACTCCTACAAATTCGTATGAATTATCAACGCATTCTCACCCCAAGGCGTCACCTTTGACCATGCTTCAATATTTGACGTTTTAGGCGCCCTTTAGCGTCACTTACATGACGCGATCCTACGGCGTCATCTAACTGACGCTAAAGGAAAGCGTCTGTTAGAGGACGCGGTTAGGTTTAGGTGTGGGGTGGGGGTAGGGTACACGCGATCCTAGGGCGTCATCTAACTCAGCCTTTCTCAAAGTGGGTGCCGCGGCACACTGGGGTGCCCCCTAGCTGTCTCAGGGGTGCCGCCAAAAAATTACGTAGGCTAAAAAAAATTTGAAAAAAAAAACCCCAGAAAAAAAAACAGCTGACATTTCATATATAAATATATTTGAATTTACATTCTTCTTTTTAAACATATGAACATATTAATAAAATTGTAAATTCATTTTAGATAAATATATAAAATTAATCATAAAAAAATCCGTCTCACAAGACCGAAGCAAGACACACACAACTTGAAGTTGACGCAAGTGACGCAATCCATAGCAACGCGTTATAGCAACACCTCAGACTGACAGAAACGTAAAAATAAACGTGAATTTAGGCCACTTTAGTTACAGCATTATGGATCGTTTTTTGAAAAGAAAATCCCCACAAGAGCCGGGGATTTTTATTTTATTTTATCTGCATCCTGCACTTCATTTGAGTTCTCCTGGTCTGGATTTGTTATTGGGTTCTTGTATTGGGCGGTCCACCTCTTACGGTTTTATGGCATTTGTGTCTCTGATTAATTATTTTGTGAATTACTTTCCAAACCTGTGTTTTTAAAGGTGCTATAAAGTTTTTATTATTATTGTTATTTACAGTTCATATTATGCTCTGTTCATTACTGTTCTGTCTAACTAAACAAGACATTTGCATTTAAATTTGGGTTATGCAGTGTTTTTAAATTATATTTTACACTGGGGTGCCTTGAGATTTTATGCACTTTTGAAAGGTGCCCTGACTGAAAAAAGTTTGAGAAAGGCTGATCTAACTGACGCTAAAGGGCGCCTAAAACGTCAGATATTGAAGCATGTCCAAATGCTTCCCAAGGCGTCAGTTAAGTGACGCCTTGGGGGTGAGAATGGGCTGGAATTATTGTAAAATATGTATGAAAAAAGTGTGAAATGTCATGAGATCAGACATAAAACAATAGTGGGTTCAACATCAAAATGTATTGTCTGATGCTAAAAAGTATGTTTTTATAATGTAACCTTCTCCTCCTTGGTCTGTTTAAGGATAATTCATGCAATTTTATAGTATTTATTTGAACGATTTAAAACAAATTCGTGTCTATCTTGTATTATTCAGCTGGTTGAGATTGATATGGGATTTTGAAAGTAATTAGTAATTAAAAGTAATTAAATACTTTTTAGAGAGAGTAAACTCTAAAAAATGCTGGGTTGTTTTAACCCAATTTTGGGTAAAATATGGACAAACCCAGCCATTGGGTTACATTTTTAAATGATAATTTTAACCCAATAGTTGGGTTTGTCCATATTTTACCCAAAACTGGGTTAAAACAACCCAGCATTTTTTTTAGAGTGTAATTAGTACAGTAATTTAATTACACTGTTGAAGAGGTAATAACTAGTAATTTATTACTTTTTTAGAGTAACTTACCCAACACTGATTATCACGATGCATAAACACTTTTAAATATAGTTATTTTTCCACATTCCACTCATAATAATCTGTGGAAATATGTCAGGTTGCAATGCAACAAATGTTAATAGTCTTCATTTTCCTGAAGCAAAACATAGTTTCTTATTATTTATAATGTCTTTTGGATTTAATTTGGGTTAAATGATCTATTGTTCTTCACTGGTTTTGAGATCCGGCCAAAAAATCCGGCCCACAGTTTCATCTTAAAACACTTCTGCAAAAAAATAAATAATGTGTAAAATTACTATGCATAAATTACGTTTATGCATACTACTTAACAAGTCATTTGTTTATGCATACCACTTTACAAGTCATGACTTACAAGTCATTTTTGTGTTTTGTGTCGAGTTGGGACATCATGGGAGTTTTGAAGCGTAAACGTCACGAAACGGATGCTAGTTTAATTACAGCTGCACACATTGCGAGTGGTCTTTTGCTGGGATAATGTGTGCAAGCTGCGATGGCGGATTAGAAGTGGCACATGCTGACAGCTGTGAGACTTAGTGAGAGTGTGTCTGACTGTTGACGTGATGTATTACGAGACTGTTTTTTGGTCGTTCATTTTTACTGGCTGTTGAAGATGTTAATGTCCCTTATCTAATGGTGGCTCTCTGTAAGCCTTTCAAATCACCAATATTTCTCTTCCTCCTTTTCTCCCTCTCTCTGTCTTCTGCTTGTCATAACACACATTTCTGTTCGCGAGTAGAAGGGTTCTTTACGTGAATGGAAAACCAGATGCAGGTTATTGGAGCTCGTATGACTCAGTCGGTGAGCTCAACACAGCGGGAACTACTGTACGTATGACTTCATACGCGTTACAAATAATCCAGCCTGGGAATTCATCGGCATTATAGCTCAGCACTCACATTCCTGATGTTCGGTTCTGCGTCAGAATGTCATAGATAGACTACAGTACCAAGCTAAAAGTTTGGAATAATACTAAAAAAATATAAATAATAAACTACACTCTTAGAAGAAAAGGTTCTATATAGAACCTTAAAAGGTTCTATCAGCGCTACGTATTTGGAACCCCTAAAAGGTTCTATACACTCTTAAAAAAGGGTTCCTCTGGGTTCTATATAGAACCGTGGGGTTCCACTTGGCCAATAGAACCTTTAACCAAAAAAAAAAAAATGGTTCTATATAGAACTATTTTGGAGTTCCATATATGAAGCGGGGGATGGAACCATTTCTGGTTCTAAATAGAACCATTTCTTCTAAGAGTGTATGGTGAAGAGACTGTATTCAGAAGAGACTAATTAAAATGATCAAAGTGACAGTAAAGACATTTATAATGTAACAAAAGATTTCTATTATAAATTGCTGTTCTTTTGAACTTTCTATTCATCAGATAATTCCATAAAAATTATGAAGCAGCACAACTGTTTCAACTTTGATAATAATGCAAAGCATGAGGTATGTGTAGGAATGTATTTATGTTGCACGCCTGCATACCTACATGTATCTATGACAAGTAAGTTATTCGTCAATTGTAGTAGGTTCTTTGAGGGTAGGAATTCGCACACAGAGCTGTTGTATTGAGTCTGTTTCTTCTCTCCTCACAGCTTGCTCTAACATATTTTCCATACACCACAAGACACCAATTACACTTTGCCAACTGTTCATTTCTCAGAGGAAATGGTGAAAAATATGAGGGTGAAACTGGGCTATCAGGTCCAGTGAGAGAAAGAAAGATCTCTCTTCACTATAATCCCAGTGTGTGTGTTTAGCTCAAGTACAAAACCATTTAGATCTATTCCAATTCCAAGTAATTTGTGTGATTTAGTGTAATAATGTTGTAAGTTTCCCCATACAGAACGGCCAAGACCCAAGAAGACAGAAAGCGGGTCATTGAAAGTGTTATTGAAAGCTTGCTTGTTTTTGTGCATTGACAAATGAACTTTCAATCAGGAATTTCATATTCACATGCATGCATACTGTAAAAAATATTGTTGGTTTAACTTAAAAAAAAAAGCAAGTAACCTGGTTGCCTTAAAATTTTAAGTACATTAAAAAGGAAAAAGTGAGTTAATACAATGAAGGAGAATGATTTAATCATCAGAAAGTCAAAATTATACGTTTTCTGAACTAAATAAACAAAATAAAAAAAATTGACAAAAGAAAAAATGTTGTGATTACTAATCATGAAAATATTTTTTTTTACAGTCGCACACACATGTGGGGACTTACCATAGACTTTCCATAGACATAATGATTTTTATACTGTACAAACAGTAAATGATCTCCCCTTACACCTACCCATCACAGCAAACATCAGAAATCTGCATTTTTGCATTGTCAAAAAACATCAGTTGATATGATTAATAAGCTGTTTTCCTCATGGGGACCAAAACATTTCCTCACAAGGAAATTGCCATCTTTGAGGTGATATTTTGTTCCCATAATGTAGGCTTTACCAGGCCACACACTACACACACACACACTGAGTGGACTCATCTCTTGTCCTTGTTTATATGAAAAAAGCTGTTTTTAGAATAGCTCCACCCTCCTCCTCCTCCGCACACCCACTAACAGCAAACCATCTGATCATAAAAGCTCCTTACAGCCCTGAACGTTCCTGCAAACGTGACGTCTGCTCAGTTTACACACATTACACACACATTCAGTTCCTGATATCTCTTTTAAAATGTCTTCAGTGATGCTTTTAAGTGTTCCACAAACAGAAATGTTATGTGTAAAGAGTCGTTACTTTAGCTGCCTGCAATACAATCGTTTCCTCAATTTCTGAATTTACTTTGAATCGTTTGTGTCTGTTGCGAGACTTTTGCATGTCTTCTCATTAAAAACGCAAGTTTGGCAATGCAGATGTGGCGATGCAATAGTGTCATGAAAACATTTAGAAAATTATTAAACCAAACTTGATTTTATATTGCTTCATATTACAGTGTTATTTCTCTCTGCTTGCTTTATGTTTAAAGTTACTGTCAGCAACCAGTTTAATGAAATTTCTGCCATTATTTACACACCCTCAAGATGTTCCAAACAACTTTATTAACTTTATAGAATTTATTTATTTGGTTGGACACAAAATAAGTTATTTTGAAGAATATGGGTAACCAAACAGTGACATAATATATGGAAGTTAAAGGGGACCACACTGTAAAAAATATTTTCTAGATTTGTTATCACAACATATTTTCTTTTGTCAAATCAACTTTATAATAATTTATTTAGTTGAGATAACTTATTATTTTGAGTTTCTGATGGTTAAATTAATCTCCTTCATTGTATTAACTCACTTTTTCCAGTTCAATCAACTTAACATTTTAAGGCAACCCAGGTTACTTACTTTTTTAAGTTAAACCAACAATATTTTTTACAGTGTAGTAATCACAACATTTTTTTCTTTTGTCAAATCAACTTAAATAATTTATTTAGTTCAGATAACATATAATTTTGAGTTTCTGATGGTTAAATTAATCTCCTTCATTGTATTAACTCACTTTGTCCAGTTCAATGAACTTTTTTAAGTTAAACCAACAATATTTTTTTACAGTGCATTAACTCTTTGGTTACCCAATTGGCTGAGCCACACCCTCAAACACGAAGAGCCAATCACAGTGCGCAGCTAACCCAATACTCTCGGATATTCTCTGCTTCCACGTCCATTTAAATGCAATACAGTTAGTCAGTTTTCATTCGTTTTTTCTTGTCATTTTAAGTTTAAAATGGTCAAACGGTGTGCATGGGGTACATGCAACTCCGACACTAGGTTTACGAGAGGCTGGGCGATGGTGTGTATTTTTTTACCCTTTCCTAAGCCACATATCAACCGAGATAAGTGTCTGCTCTGGATTAAGTTATGCGATTTATTTATGCGGTAGACCACAACACCAACTAAACGTGGATAAATTAAACAAGGATGTCAACAACGTATTTGAACGTTATCTTATTTGAATGTAAAAGTTAGGCTAACTTTAGCCTAACATTAGAAAACATTAGCTTTAGCTTTTAGCTGCATTGTTCATCATGTCACTTAGCTTCATTAACATATCTGTAAATATCCGAGATAACAAATGTTATCAATATTGTGTTGAATGATTCATGTAAAAACTGTAGCACCAAATGGTGATGGCAACGATATGCGGTTTAACATTTTTGCCTGGAGCTGAAGCTTTTCATTGACCTTCTCAACAATAAAAGTATTAATATAACCCTCCAATGCATAGTTAAGGCCCTTTAGGTGACTTCGAGATGATAATCTTTCTGTCTCCAAAAATCACCAATTGCCTTCTGTGAAATGTCTCCTACTGTGACCGCTGCCATAGCGCCTGTCCCCGAATGTTGACTGTTGTCTGAATGAGTGGAGGGGGCGTGGCTTATCCATAGGTCAATTGTTTGGTTACCCAACTAATTGTTTTTGTTGCAACTTGAACAGCAAAATACAGACACAAAATACAAAGTGTCACATTTACATTGAATAAGTTAGTAATTGAAAGTAAAAGAAAAAAGTAAGAAAAGTAAGTAATTGAAAGTAAGAAAGTAAATGTGAAATTTTTACATAGAAATGCTGAAATATTCTCTTGTAAAAATGTACTTCAATAATCTCTATTTTATTCACGACTTTGAAATGATGTATATATTTCATGTTTTTTTTTTGTTTGTTTGTTTTTTACAGTGCAGGAAAAGGTATCTTTGTGTTTGCTGAGAAGATCCGTTTTGCGCTTTAGTGACGTTTTCTCTCTTTTACCCAACAGCAAACCTCGGATACCAACGGCAACCTGCGAAAACGCGTCAACTCCAGCATTCAGTCTCAACCGGACTCCAAGAAAACCCAAAGAACCGAAACGTCTAGCAAGAGCGCCGCAGCCACATCCAAACCAACTCTGACCAGCCAATCATCTTCCACCTCAGAGGGTACCAGCAGTTTCTCCAGCCAATCACGTCTAAGCCCCAGTTCTGCCAGCCAATCAAAAACAGCCCCTTCCTCCAAGACCACACCGCCAGCCCCGCCCTCTACGCCAACAGTTCCCGAGAAACCGTCGCCCGGAGCGACCGCTGGCTCCGCCCCTCTTCACCATCTCCTCGGCCCGAAATTAGAAAATATTAAAAAGAAGGAAGCCAAGGCCGCACCCCAACCTGCCGCTCCCGCGACCGGAGGAGCCAGCAAGATCGACGAATATGCGCGTATTTTATTCCCAGTGTCCTTTGGGGCATTCAATATGGTGTACTGGGTGGTTTACTTATCCAAAGAAACCATGGAGGCCAAGGGAGGCTAACAGGAACAGGCTTGGTTGTTTGTACCATTTTTTTTTTCTACAACTCGCTGAACAAATGAAATAAGGAGACCTCTTAAGGATTACTTCAACCATATTTCCAAGCAATTCCAAGAAACGAAATTCTATTGCGGCAGACAAAACTGGACGAGCGCACGGAAGATAACTTTTTTGTTGTTGATCAAAATGGCCGTACGCAAGATTAAGCATGTGGATATATTATAATAAGTAAAAATAATTACATTAAAAAACAATCCAATAGATTTATCTGTTGTCTTGAATAGCCATATTTCCGGCCTGTCCTATTTATCGCCGGACACACTGAAGACGAAACAATACCAGGGCCGTTTAGTCTATTTTTATATAGAGACACTTCTGGGAGAAAAAAAAAATCCTTCTTTCGAAGAATCTTTTTCGGAAACCCAATAGATCTGAACTGACCTTGCGGATGTCTGCCAAGAAGACATATTTCTGACATAGTATTTCTTTCAGTTCTTTCATGAATGGTATCTATTCGGTGTTTTCTCGCCGAGAGGAAACGTTGGAAGGGAGCGTGTGCTGATCAGTGAAAAACACATATGCATGTCTTTTATTTTTTAAAGAGACTGAAATAATTTTTGTCGTTACAAATTAAGTCGTTAAAGCGCAAATTATGGTTTTCTCTCATTGTTTTTGAAGTTGAATGGCTTGTTTTTAGTTAAGTTCAGTTTTAATTTCCATTGTTTCAGTACTTTTTGTTTCAGTACTTATAGCTGATACATTCTCTGCTATAAACATGGACATAGGAAGGAGTTTCACCAAATGAAGCACACGGCATGATGCTTCTGGAGTCATTTAGAACAATAAGAGGATTAAACTGACTGATGTTGTCATAGACGATCCAGAGGACGATGAAAACCTCCACCAATCCACATAGGGCTGTTTTTTGTATGTGTATATTGGATTTAAACCGTGATTGGTTGAGGTCTTCATTATCCGTCAACTATTAGTTTTCACAGAAAGTCAATGTTAAAGGAATAGATCACTCAAAAATGGTCCCATGGAACAAAAACGGAAATGTTTAGTCAGATGTTTGATGTCAACGTCCAAAAATAACAACCAAAAAAGCATTATTAACCCTAAATCCGTATTCTGGACAAATGTGGGCAAAATAGTTTTGATTTATTTTTTTTAAAAATACTTCCCTTGATCTGAGCAGTACAAGACTTGGCTACTTTTCCTAAGTTTGCCTCCTGAACACACAATTTTTTTTCCACTCAATTCTACAATGTTAAGTGGGTGAAAAAAACTCCTTAATCTTGTATTTGGGTCAAAAATGGGCACCAATAGAAATGCATGGGAAAAAAATGTAATTTAGACAGCAAAGTCACTTCATCTTTGGGTTTTAGCTCTAAGAACTTATTGGAATGATATTTTAATGTAGTTAAAAAAAATATAAAACTACATAGTAATTCATTTACATTGTAATTTACATAGAAAATATGGTACTTTTTGAAGTAAATAAATTCAAAAATACCCTCAAAATTTACAAAAACACAATAAATGGATAGACAAAACTTTATCGAGGACATTGATATAACATTTATAATAAATACAAATTATTATCGCACCTCTGTGCCCACATTTGTCCACAATTACAGGATTAAGGGCTATAAAGTGAATACGGTTTGAGGGCTACAGAAGCCCAGATGACTTTGAAGCCATATGATAGCTTTGTGTGAGAAACTGAATTTTTTTAATAGATGTGAATGTGCATAAGATGTGGCTATATGGACGCAACAAAAATGAAAAAAGTGAGCTGATACCGAAAATTCAGGATGCACGGTCGAAAACCGAAACAAAAAAATAAATATTAAAGTAATGATCAATTAATTATTTGCTTCATATTAATAACAACGCTAAAAAGGTTTTTGCGATTATTGGATGGCAGGTTCAACATGCTTCAACAGAAAACAGAACTGACCAAAAAAATTTTAGATTTAAGAAACCTGTTAAAATCAAAATGAATATGGTCAATCCAGAGCTAGTCTTTGACTGTATAGCTTATACACGAATTAGACGCTCAACACTTTCAAAACGTGCCATCTGAGAAGCGTTAATTAAACATCGGTTTCGGTGATTGATTTCATCCCTCCAAAACCATTTCAGCCAGAAACCCAAAATAGCTGTTTCAGCCGCAAACTTTCAGTCGCCGAAATTTCAGTGCATCCCTATATATGGCAAAAGAGTTTGACACATAACAATTTGGCTTGTTAGTCACACAAAGCTATTGTTGGACATATATGAAAATAGTTAGACAGATTTTATTTTTATTTATGTTTTGCTTTTTGGAGCTTGACAGCCCTTAAAAATGCTGCCGATAAGGTGATTGTGCAGCGATGCCATAGAAGAACCCATTTAGACTCCTGAAAAAACCTTGGTAACACTTTACTTGAAGGGGTGTGCATAAGACTGGCATGACACCTTCATAACCATAACATGACATATGGGTTTATGCATGTTTATGACAAGTGTCTTTCGCTCAATAATGACATTTTGAATGCAAATTTAATTAAAAGTATAGTTCAATGAGCTATTGGACCTCTTTCCTCTACAAAGAAATGTTTGTGCATTGGAACATGTCCTTGGATATTAAAAGTTCTTCACAGATGGCAACAATATATTTTCACTGTGTGGAAAAGAGGAAGAACATAAGAAATCTCCTCTTGTGTTTCACAGAAGAAAAGTAAGTCATACGTGTTTGGACCGGCATGAAGGTTAGTCATTGGGTGAGCTATTCCTTCATGGAGCTCGTGGTGATTTTCAGTTCAATATTGGTGTACTGAAGACTTATGCACTCATTATGTGACATTGAGGTCCTTCTGATATTTCGGGTGATCTTAGCTGACTGCTTTTGAATGAATCTATTCCACCATTATGTTCAAATGTGACATAAAACACATCTGATTGATTTAATGAAATCTATACTATTAATTAAATGATTATTTGATTAATTAGAACAAATGAGCGTGTGTGTTCTTAGTCCTGCATTTCCACATGAAAGAGTGTGTAAGTGTGTGAGATACAGACAGTGTGACTGGTTAGACTTGGGTCTATTACTCCACGTTAATGAGGCAGCACAGTTTGAATCATTAACTGCTCGCCATGCAAGCCATGCTGTTCACAACATAAATGTATAAGAAGTGCTTTCTAATTTACTGGTTGAAGGGAGAGAAAGAAAACAAGCATAATATTTACCACATGTGCTGCTCATATACTGTATATTGCCTATTTAAGACATTACAGGAGCCCTAAAACGGCATACATTATTATTTTTTGTTGCTTGTCTTGCTGAGTCATGATCCTGACTTGTTTTCTCTTGGATGTTATTAGTATTGTATATGCTACCAGTCAAACAATTGCAATATATATATATATATATATATATATATATATATATATATATATATATATATTAGGGCTGGGTATTGAGACAAATTTCACAATTCGATTTCGATTACGATTCAATTCGATTCAATATCGATTATTTTGGATATCAGTTACAATAAATGGCAATTTTTCTCAAGGGAATCAAATCTCTTAAATGCTGTAAACTATGGTCTATGTCTAGTTGTAGCCTATAGGCTTCATTAGCCTAATATGAAGGTAATAATTAACTGTTTTGTAGCTATACAGACACTTAAATTACACTTTTATTTATTTGTATAATAAGAAGATATATGAAATATAAACATTTAAATGCTGGCTGTCATAAAAACTTGCCAGATTTATTCAAATATGCATTAAATATTGAAGAACACTAACGAGTGTGGACTAATGAGTTTATGTGGCGTTTTCTGAGGTAAATATGACGATACATGCATTGATTACAAGCTGTTTAATTGACGTCTTTCCACGGTTGAAACGCAGATTGAGCGAATCAATGTGACATGATAGGGATTTAGATAAGTTGTACTCTATCTTTCAACACACTTTCAGATGCTCATTCATGTTTATTTCGCGCTGTTATTATCCCGGAAGAGAGATCAGCGCTGCTGCTTCTCCAGAGCGATCTCACGCCACAGCGCCAAAACGACAAAACGCAATTTATGTATTTGAATTTCTAAAGAAAATGGACGTAATTTGAAAATTGAGACTTTGTTTCATATCAATAGTAACAAAGGACAAAGATTATTGCGATTTGTTGGATGCGCGCAGCCGCGATACAATGTCTCATTCATTCAAATGAAACAGGGTGATTAATCGATTCTTGAGATTTAAGAATCGATATCGGTTTGTAAAAATGAGAATCGATTAATATCGAAAAATCGATATTTATTACCCAACCCTAATATATATATATATATATATATATATATATATTTCCTGTTTTTGAAAGACATTTCCACAGCCTCACATCTGCTGTTAACACTAATAATGTGTGTCTTGAGCAGCAAATCATCATATTAGAATGATTTCTGAAGGGTCATGTGACACTGAAGACTGGAGTAATGATTTTCAGCTTTTACTTTTACTTTTTTACTTTTATTTTTAAAATTCAGCTTTACTGTTTTTTGTTTTTTTTTTATTCAAGAAAATTTAGCCTTTGTGAACATAAGAGACTTCTTTCAAAAACATGAGAAATGTTTTGAGTAGGCTTCAATCTTTTGAACGGAAGTGTGTATGCATGACTTTTTACCTTTAAACAGCTCAACTTCATTGCCATCCAACATGAGGGACTGGGACGTCTGCATGCTTAGACTGATGTTTGAAAGATCCTGATCAAATAGGCTACTTTGCAGCTGACCAGAGAAATAGTGAACGATATACAGAGAAAATTAGAAAAATTAGAAAAAAGTAAAGATTGTGTGGAAAACAAAACAATGCATGTCCTCTTATATTCATCCACAATGTTGTCACGTGACCTCAATATTTTGCATGGTGCCTAAATTTGGTTATTTTGCTTTTTCAATCCATTTTTGTTCCAGTACTGTCACCAGTTTTGCAAAAATAGCGATTGTCTTCAAAGAGATTTCCACAAACGCTTCCTCCTGTCATTGGTCAAAAAACAGATAGCCCCGCCCCAAACTCACACCATTAGTTAATCCGAGCCCGATCTCATGAAAGTTCGTATTTATAGCACGAATGTCATGTCTCGTGCCATTTATACGGCAAAAACAGTTTTTTCGTGGAAATGGTACGCGTTTTTCGCATGCACATGATACGCACTTTTTGACGTGTAATACGCACGAACTCCCCACCCCCTACCCCCAAAACCTACCCCAGGGATTTTTAGTGCGTAGCATATACACGCAAAAACAAATTTTGCCGTATAAATGCCACGAGAAATGACATTTGTGGTATAGATACGCATTTTTTATATGAGACTGTGTTGTTAACCCAGTTTTGCTCTGTAGGGCTGGTTAAAATTTGTGGTTGACTTTGCTTTATACGATGTGTTTTATATACGTGTGCTTTCACCACACTAAAAGGAAGGTGAGTGATTACGTTGTGGGATGCAGTATCCAGTTATAAACTGCACATTTTTTTTCAAATGCAGTTGGCCATTCAGGTTTTGATAAAGATTTGCATACTGTACACAGTACATACTACGGCATACTACTAATTTCTAACTCTCAGTCTCCATGTTTGTGTGTGTGTGTGTGTGTGTGTGTGTGTGTGTGTGTGTGTGTGTGTGTGTGTGTGTGTGTGTGTGTGTGTGTGTGTGTGTGTGTGTGTGTGTGTGTGTGTGTGTGTGTGTGTGTGTGTGTGTGTGTGTGTGTGTGTGTGTGTGTGTGTGTGTGTGTGTGTGTGAGAGAGAGAGAGTTTGAGTGAGTGTGTGAGGGACAGGGCTATCAGCAGTGTAATGGAGTGATCAAAATGTCTGGCTTCCCCAGATATATCTTCTAGTGTGAAATTGGCTTTGTACCTTCATCCTTCATCTCACACACACACACACCTTGTTAACCTGCCACCTTAATATTATCTCTCTCTGACAATATGACCAATTCAAAATGACAAATATATGTATATATAAACATACAGATATGAATATACGCCTGTGTATTTTAGTCTGTAACAGCTGTAGTTTAGATAAGATCTACAAATTGTGCAGCATTTTTGGGCCTGTATTTGGGGTTGAGTGTGTGCAGAGAAGTGCCGTCCCTACTGGCCGTTTGCCTGAATGCAT